TATGTCGACCACATGAGGTGAATATGACACGATGAACTGCAGTAGTAATGACAATAATGACGTCTTTCTAAAGTGGTGAATAGTCGACAATGCGAAGAGTGAAGTAACTTATAAAGGAGGCATGAGAATGTGAATGTTCTCACAGTTCAACGAGGTGGAATATTGGGAAATTAAAAATTACCTAATACTCCTGGTGGTGTCAGTAGGTGATTACAGTCTGAACGGAAACATATGTTGACTGAGTGGAGGCTGAATGCTTGCCAATGTGATTTATTCCTCTGTGAAGTGAGCTGATCTGTGATTTTACTTGGTTAAGTGGAAACAGTTCTACGTGAAATACTGAGTTCGGGAATGGGATTTTTCTTCCAGGGATCAGTCCTGTAGTACGCACCATCTGGACGGCATACCAACTTGACCCTTGCTTATTTCAGGTTCGCTCCTCGGTCGAAGCAATCCTAAACCTTGCTAAACAGATATTAGATTCGGTGATTAGGGAAGGTTGGTCATGAGGCCATTAATCTCACCCCTGAAAAGCCACCTCGCTACTGAAACTTCAGAGCTCAAGCTTGAAGCCCTATGTCCTACTCGGAACGCTAATCAATGAAAAGTGGAAATGTTCATTGTGGGGTATGCACATGTATGTGATTGTCGACAGACATTTATATTACACGGATTTGTAACTGTGGAGATGATTCCATGTCTTTCTAACTACAACAATAATAAAATGACTTCACTGTCACTACAAATACCAAATATGAACTGTCATCAACAATCCTGTAATATTATCTCTGTAATTGTTTCTAGAGTCATTCGATAAGATTATGTGCAGTATTGCACCAAATGCTGAAAATTCCACACTGTATAATTAGTACTGTTTTGGAATAAAGTGGAAATTATTGTTAGTAGTAGTAGTAGTAAATTTCCAGCCAGCACACTGTACTTTGCTGTAATACCTGAATGGTGAAAATTTATCTTCGACGCTTTTTTTATCACATGTCATTTTTTTATTCATTGCTCTTCGTTACAACTGAAACCTAAATCAGTGATAACACCTAATGAGTTATATGTTGACTCGTTGGAGGATTTCATCATGAGCTGATTGATATCAGTTGGAGAACTGTTGGAAAAGCTGTGAGTACTGGACAGCTGCTTCGTCCTAGTTTGGGACTCTTCGTCAGTATGCACCCACCAGGGTTCTAATTGATGTCAGCTCATGGTGAAATCCTCCAACCAATCAAACGAAAAATTCACTACAAAACAAATACTTGAAAATATATGTTGGCCTGAAATTGTTCTTGTCGAGTTTGAATTTCTTCATTTGTGTCTTTTCGTCATAAGTCACGTGTTCGGTTGAAAAATATGCCTTTCTATTTTGAAAGCCAGTCATTCACTCTTGTTATGATTCAGATGACCTTTTTGTAAGTTTGAAAATATTTAACCGCATTACATTAGGTCATATGAAGGTAGCATTACGTTACATAACACAACAAACAGGTCAACTCAAACTGAACTACGATTATTTAGTTTAAGTCTCCTAAAACTATGTCAAAAACCAAATGCAAAGTTTTGATAGGTCATTCATTTCGAGGTTATTGATGAACTGCCCTTGTGGCTACCAGTAATTGCATTTGAAATTAAACATTCAAAGTTAAAACTGACACGAATATGCGTGAACTGCCTTCACAAAACACACGGAAAGATTTTTGTGGAAATTTATGTTTATGTTTCAAGTGGCCGAAAAGGAAACTTAATGGAAATTTAAAAGACTCAAGATCATTTAATAGATCATTCAGGAATAAAAAGAGGACTACTAATGGAGAATGTAACTCACTTGAAGGGAAGAGAGGAGAGTCAAAGAAGAATAAGCGGTAAGTGATTGATTTGACTCATTTAGTTATTTATTGTTCACTGGATGTTAATTCTTTTGGGTGCTATTTTTCAAAGTTTTGTGTTGTGTCTACATGGAGGTATTCTGTAGAACTCAGACTTCAGTGATACTCTTGTCATCGAATGTGAATTCAAGCGATATATTGAAGCCATTGGATGAAGATATAGTCAGACAGTTGATCAATAATTATTAGTAAGGAAACCACCACATTGATCGGTTTCTAACAGGCATTAGAAATGACGCGTAGGACGTATTAGGAGGATTCGCCTAAAACATTATTTGAATAAGGAATATTTCCAACTCCATGATCATTCAGTATTCTGATTTTCGGTACTCTTCTGCATTTTGCATACTAACAATTCTGAATGACTTCTTGTGAATGTGTTCTGGCGATACCTGAATAGAGAAAGAGGGAGAGAAAGAGACAAGTAAACTGACATTGTTGTGTCAGTCAAATTCATGCATAACAGTGAAACCGGTCGTATTGTATGGAAAATACTACAGTGACAAGCTCTGACGAAGGTTGTACCATCTTAAGTAAGGATAGGCTAGAGATGGTAAGCGTAGACGAGGAGTTCTAAGGTTGTCCAGAGCATCCCAAGTGACAAGCATGTCATGAACAATGGGAAATTATTATTGTCGTCCGCGTTGATATTATTTAACCAGGTGTTGAATGAATACAGAGGAGACTAGAGGACGGGAGAATTTCGAAATGGTGACAACCAATCTCGCTCAATTCAGGCTCTTCATTCTATCGATCTTACCCACCCGATCGGACAAAAGTGGTAGATAATAGACGAATGATTGTCGTGGACAGTAGTAAGAAAACAAATGGGTGAATGTTTGGTTATGTGACAGCAGTTCACCGATTTAAACCATTACTACGCCCAATAATTTCCGATTTTAACCATTATTTAACCAGAATTTTTCCCACTTTTGTCCGTCTGAGGATGATCAAGTAATCTTCCAACCACTCGTCTTTCGACCTAGATAATAATATCCATGTTACACGCCACAACCAAGTTCATCACAGCTGACTTATTATCTCAAAATATTTGTAGGAATTATCGTCATTAAGATAAGTATTTCTATGTGAGGGGCGAAGTGTAGTGTCACTGAGATTCAATAAAAGTCTCCAGGATGTCCTTCTGCGATCACACGACTGAAGAAATACATCGTGGTGCATTTTAGGGCCGCTTCATATGTGAAAATCTAGAAGTCACGTCATCGTCTAGAAGAATCGAAATGGCAAGCTTCAATAGGTCGGTCTCTCCAACTGCTTTAAAACAACTCTCGTAAACTCTCAGTTATTCAAGATTTCCTATATTCTCAATGGATACTTTGTCCCAATCTCGATTTCCACTTGTAGATTTCGCGCTGACACAGACACAACATTGAATGACGAGTATCCTGATGATGATGACAAAGAACGAAAGATTGGAATTCTCCTAAGTCGAATATTCAGATGTAGAAACCATGACAGTAGAGATATTTACAAGGTGACGCAATCAACACCAAAATCACCTGCTGCAACTCGACGCCTTCCTACACCTCAACCTCACGCTCCGCGAAAACCACCGCTGCCACCAATTTGTTTCCGAGTTCCGCGACCACCCTTTTCACAACCCCCATCACCATCCTTTCTACCACCTTTGTTCACCGGTTTCAAGGATTCAGCCCCACCACTGCCTGGTGAGTTAACGTTCTAACTCATTTGTCAATGTACTTTACTTTGCTGTAGTACCAAAATGGTGAATATGTGTTCTTCATCTTCATATTATCATATGTTGCCTTTTACTCATAGCAGTCACATCCTTCAGCTAGATGCAAGCATGAGGACAGTAAACATCCATCAGCAGTGATCTGAAATATAAAGAGTCACAGATATGCACCAACTGACTGGGGAGTACTGAACAGCCGCCTAGTCCTTGTTCCAGACTCTTCAGCAGTATGTGCCCATCGCCCCACCACGGATCGAACCAATGACCTGTGGGTCACCAGATGAACCCGTAAACCATCGAACCACTAGGACGTCACCTGACCTGGCAGACACATTTTACTCTAGACGTCTATCAATCGACTGACTGAAACAGAAAGCAGGCGTATAAACGAATTTCATTGTTAGGCACAGAGCCAATGATAGTGATAAAGAGTGGCACATTCGCTAGGTTTATGCCCACCAGGGATTGGATACTCCTCAGCCTTGAATTCATCATATTACCGCATAGTGAATACGTAAGTTCAACCGCTATAACGCGTTAAATAGAAACCGACATTCAGGAAAAAATCATGTGGTGAAGCTTGTAGAGTATTTCCATTATGCAGAAGATTTTATTTCGATAAATCACACTGTATTATACAGTAATATTTACGCGCAGAACGTGGTTTGGCCATGTTCTGCGCCGACCAGATGACGATCTGGTCAAATCAGTTCTAAATCCCTCGCCATTACCATCTTGGCGATGTCGCAGAGGCGGACAGCTGAAGACATGGCTTGGTACAGTCAAGGCAGATATGGAGTGCCTGGGGCTACAAACGGTCTACGGACTCCGTATGTGGAACAAGAATTGGATATCCCTATCGCAAAACCTTGCTTCAGATCGTTGCGCCTGGGCAGCGATGATTCGAGACGTTCATGAAGCCGGCTCATCCTCCCGTAGGAGATAGCCGAAGTAAAGTAAAGTAAAAAAGTAATATTTACTATTGACTTTTCGAGCACAAACTAATGCTCACGTAACTTTTTCCTTCATTTCTACACATGTGTGGAATCGATTTAATATTGGAATTAAAATCAATATAGGATAATGTACACTCAGAATTATTAATATGATTGTTTCATACATTTATTCGCCTAATGAATTTGAACAAATCAAGAACTACAGTTTAAGCAGAATAAAATGGTTTCATCTTTTATTTCGTTGCCTTCTCGTCAGCCGCTTACATGATAAAGACATTAGTAAATATATCTACAACAACAATTTTGACATACTTGCACAAAGTTCATTTTAAGCAAAAATCAATAGATCACTATACGCATACACCAAAATTATACATATATATATATATATATATGCAATATTAAACGCTATTCCGAAAAATAATAATTACTTTCTGAACATGTACCAAAATGCTTACATCTAAAGGGAACAAATGCTTTAAACAGTGCCATCACCAGGCATCTCCTCGACAAGGGTCATGAGGTGGACGTCGAAAAGTCGTTCAAAATTGTCAGTAGGCAAAAGAGCTCAATTGTCCCTAAGTTTGCTGAAGCCATTTCCATCAAGCGCCTGAAACCTGATTTATGCGTCCAGAAAGAAGCGGTTATCAGTCTTTCTTTGCCCTGGTAACTGGATATTTTCACATCTCTTTCTTCCGAATGCGAAATGCTAAAGGTCTCCATTGTGTATGATTATCATTTTTACATTGAAGTTTAGTCGCTTTTCAAGTATTTTTATATCACTACAGCTTGGTTCCCTTGATGAGAGGTTGATCACCCATGTTGTTCTGTCGATAGAGGATGAAACGTTGACGTCGGTTTCACTTATGGTGTAGCTTGAAAATCCCGATTGATTCATATGAAAAAGAGAAGACGTTCAGCGAAGAGGCTCTTTTCGGTGAACGTCATCACTTTTTCATTTATTGCGCTCTTTTCCTCCATTATTTTGTTGAATATTTTTATTTGTGAGGTTTCGAAATAGAGACTGACTTTCAGGAAAAATCATGTGGTGAAGCTTGTAGAGTATTTCCATTATGGATAAGATTTTATTTCGATGAATCACACATTGTTATACAGTAATATTTACTGATGACGTTTCCAGCACAAACTAACTTAATTCTGGTTCTCTAGCTTTTTCGCATGTTTCAACAACAATTACGTAATCTTTGTCATTGACCATACATTTGAGTTTGTGTTTGAGTTTTTCAATTTCATTTCGTATATTGTTTAGTCTCACAGTAATTCGATGTAGTTCTTCTCTTAGGCATAATCTACTGACATGTTCGGCTGCTGATGTTATTTTTCTTGAAGTAATTGGAGTACGTAGGCGTAAATATTTTGAAATTATATGTATGTGTATATAAATGAAGGAAAACAGTTGTGTGAGTAACTTGATATGGTTATGAGTGGCCATAGTCTGTACTCGAAACGTCATCAGTTATTATTATTGTATAACAGTGTGATTTATCAAAATAAGCTCTTTTCCAAAATGGAGTTATACTCTACCACAGTGACGACGTTTTATACTTATGTGGAGTATTTCACCTACCGATTATGCACAGACAACTCCTATCTGGCCGATTAGTTTTACGCCACCACTTGATTCGTGATGCCAGCCATAAATTGAATATCTGATTTCTCTCAGAGTCAATTACCTACTAATCTTAAGTCATTTCAATAATATACACTTCGGTATATTAATTCTGCTACCTCGCTACCACCTTTTCCTCTGTTTGAACAGAGTCGCTAATGCCATACAATATGAAACCAAAGAAGACATCCTCGGCTGCATTCAGATTGAAGAAGGCTTCCGTATCTCCGGTAAGTATTCAGTGACATGTGTATATGTCAGTGACGTTAATAATAAAAATAATAATAATAGTTGATGTTGTTCTTGTTGTTGTTGTAGAAGCTGTTATCACCATTATTATTATTATTATTATGATGATGATGATTAATATTATCTGTATTATTATTAAGGAAACACAAACCTCCACCGAGAGATTCTGCAAACAAAACCTCACAGACTGGGATACTCTCCGGACGCCCAGACGAAAGCAGGTGGTTGCTATCGCGTCAACCCCTGGGTCTTTCACTCGAAGTCATATCCAGAATGTAGTGGGCCAGCGTCAGAAACACTGTTCCCATGATTGTGTTTCACTGACCGCGTGTACAGCTATAGTTGACCATCTTTCTGAATTTTTCATGTTTTAATGAACATTTAGAGTCTAGTGAGCCAGTAGTCTATTCGACCCTGGTTTACTTCTCTGGCGCATGCATTTACATTTTTCATCGGTGAATAAAATTCTTTTTTAGCATGCACAAGACGATGTGAATGTGGACTTGACAAGGAGATTTAGAACATTGAAAGTGCGAGACGTGTCTGTGGAACCTATCAGTCGAATATGCCCATTAAGGAAGACAGATAGGAGTGTTCAGATGGCAGTGAGCGGTGATAATACCAGATTCTCCGAGGTAAGTCCACGCACTGATGTTCATTTTTTCGCTTGCACAAATTCGGATATTAGTGGCTAGGAGCAGTAATTACATGACTTCTCCAGGAAGTGTGCTTGATTAATTACTCAGACAAGTAGGCATTTTGAATCAGTAGTGGGCAGTTAGGAATAGACATTTTATCGCCGATCTGGAGTGTCTTTCAAAATGGGTTGGTTACTGCAAATCTACTCATGTTTGTTAGTGGAGATAAGTCGGACAAACTTGTGTTACAATCTGAGTGAACGTACGTGAAATGTGTCTCCGGATTTGATTCACTTCTGCATACATTGAATGTCATCTATTCTCCTGTCGTAGGTAGTATATTCCTTTCCCATCCGAAATGTCGTAATATTTGTTTTCATTTATCTTTGTGAATCTCAATTTATTTATGACAGTGGAAGTCTTTTCTGTGAAGGGGTTTTTGTAACACCTCGTATATGCGTGATTTTACTATTTTACTTACTGATGTGTTTGTGTACCACTCATCTCTCTACACGATACATATTTGCAGTGTTGTATCACCTATTCTTATGACTTACTCCTATTTTTATTTTTCTCAGATTTCAAAATACATTGACGATGAGTCATCATTCACTTCCCAAGGATCATCTCCAATCTATCCTTCGCAGTGTAAATTAGTGTCAAGTAGATAATAAGAATCATTCTCAATTCCAATGAGTTGATAAATAAACAATGTTGAGGTGGACGTCTACATTCACACTAGTGCAATGTGAGTCGGCTATCTGATTCATTTGTCCTGCAACACGAAATTGGTGAACACTTATTTTCAACCGCGTTGAGTAAAATAAATAGTTATTTGTATTCATATTGTTTCCAATAGCGTTAACATAATTTTCGTCGTCTGTGGGCTTGAGCGTAATCTCGGAATGAGTGTCAAATCTCAGAAATCGTCACCTTCACTCACATCAGTGAAGTAGTTCAAATAAGATTTGTATCATTCAGCTGGAATACTTCACTCCGTGTGTGTTCATTCAAGAAATTTGTGATATGGTGATGTTTAAGACAAAGATGAGTGCAACTTTGTGAGAAGTTGTAAAGTATGCAGTCACTAATACACATTGCATAGGCCATTTTGAAAGGGTAGAGACAACACGCTCACTAGGTAAATAACAAGTTATTAATCAGGATTGAAAGCACTATCATACTGGAATCACAGGATATCAATATGTCTGAATAATAGAGTCAAACTGACTCAAGTTAATGTATGCGTGCATGACAGTGAGGCTGGTTTCGCAAGTCATATTTCCTTTCTCGAGTACATGCTGATGGTTTGATTATCTAACGAAATTGTAGGTATAATCCCATTAAAAACCATGGCTTCCTGTGACTGTTTTGATTGAACTGCTTTGACAAAAGACCAGAGGGATGTGATTCAAGTTAATATTTCTTTGGATAACTGACCTATTCACAAATTAACTGAAGTTGAGTCAGTGAATGCATAATTGCATTCATACAATTCCTTAAATACAACTCAATTTGAGAATTCTTGTCCGACAGAATATTCGAAATCGATGTCCATAAACTGCTGGTAAGAATGTAGGTGTTGTTTCTATCTGTAATTATCTCACCTCGTTCTGAATAGGAAGCTAATTGAGTAAGTGTTTATCGGAGCATAAGGATGCTGCACAGTATTCTACACATCAGAATAAGACTAAAAGTAAGGGAATAACTGCTGCAGAGGAATGGGTTTCGAGGCATCCTTCCAACTTTAACTGGACCACTGAGGAAGTCATACTATATATATGCGTTAAAGTTCAATCAAGATGTAGAGCTTCTGTATCTCACCGGACCATCCAAAGTAGAGCAGTCGAATGAGACAGATAGACAGATGAATTCAGTGACACGACCCCATCGAAAATATTTTTGACATTCCTCAGAATCATTCAGCGTTTCTAAGCCTACAAACATTATTTCCATTTATGAGGACAGGTTTATTGACAACAGAATTTTCTAAATACCTTTAATGGCTTTCCAGTTATCGCAGTTGTGTGTGTGTGTTTGGTGTAGATTAGATAAAGCCTCCGCGATCTATTTTGTACTGATTATATTAGATTTCAGAGCTTATGCTTTATCCTATCATACCGAGCGTCAGCCCACGAATTAGGGAAACCGTGATTTTTCCTGATGATGTATTTTTTGAGGATCTCTCAGTCTATAATTAGTGGTTCTTTTGTGCTCAGATTTTCTGGCTGACTCCGTTAGACTGCTTCAGCCTTTATACCTCACCACAAGATGACTATGTGACATTTTATAGGCTGAATGATTTCGCCCTTCTGACGATTAATGCAGCTTCGTCTTTAGATAATTAGTGAATATATGGCTGCTCTAATTTCAGTTTCTTTAAGGAGACGATGAAATTCTTTGTTATCCTTTCACTTTACGGCAGCAACATAGGAGCTCTGGACTTCATCTTCCGGTCACTCAGTCTTTAATTTTCCCCTTATCACATCTCACTAACATTTCAATGTATTCTGGCGATTAATTACTGGGTAGTAATGCCTGTTTAACATATTTTAATTTTGTGTTTAATTTCAATGAATCTCGCCTTAAGAGTATTGGATGAAGGAAGGTAACATCTAGGTATGTATCATAGTGCTTGTTTACTGTGCACAAGATGATGCGATGAGATTTCTTTTTTGTTCATCGGAACAAAATTGTAATAGTTTGTCAGCTGTCCATTCCATTTTGGCTTCCGGTAAATTGATCTTTGTAGGCTTCCATCTGATCGTCTTGTAAGTTGAACATCTAGGAAGGGTAATTTACTTTTTGATTCCGCTTCAATTTTCAGTTCGACTGATTAGTGAGAGTTTCTGAAGATTTACAGGATTTTGTTGAGGTCAGTATTTTCATGGGTGATGAGGAATATATCATCTATATACCGATTGCACACTTCGAACTGTTTGATTTCTGGTAGGAGGATATATGCCTCAAGGTACGCCATAAAGCAATGGACCAAGTAGAGAATCCATCGCCACTTTATCCTTCTGGCCGTGCATTTGACTATTGAATAAAAACTGAACATTTGGTGGGTGCGTCTTAGTGTTATTTGTGTGATATGCTCAGTGGATATGTCAAAATTTAGATTGTTCGAATCAATAGACTCATATAGGTAGTATACAGTTTCCGTTAAGGTGACATTGGCGAATAGAGAGACTACGTCCAGCGAAGCCACAGTTGATCCAGTTACATTTGCGAATTCACCAGCTCCAGGTGAAAACTCACGGTGTTTCCAATGGAAACCCCCTAATATTAACATCACAATATTCGGTCAGCTTGATCCCATAGATGACAATGAAGAAAGCTAATGAGAAGGGCATAATGGTGCATACTGTGGATTGATATGAGTAGTCGGGAATCAGTGACGTTAATCAGTAGTGCCTACTAGCCAGATAGAATTGATCTAAACGCCGGACAACTTTTTCGTTCGTTTGGCACCGAGCTCATCAGTGGCGTACCTAATAGACTGAAGTCAGAGAATTGATAACTCACTAAATTTGAGAGCGCAGTGACTTCTCACTAGGCTTTACAATTGGATAGTGAACTTATTAATCCCAAACATTTAATGCCAATTCGGTCAGTAGAAATAAAGTTCGAATTTATGCATGCCGCTACTTACTATTGATTGATTCATTGATTGACATGAGTAGTTGGACACCACTGGCAACAATCAGTGGTGGTGATTATTATTCAGATCGAGGTGATCTAAACACGGAACAAAGTCTCGCCTGTCCAGTGTCGAGGTCGTCAGTGATGTATCCTACTCAGATCAGAACCAAGTCAGTTAAAACCATCCGAATTCCAGCTAGCTACCTAGACGAATTGGTAATAGATTGAACTGAATTCGAAATTTTCAGGTTGACTGCTATTTATGGCATCAAGCAGATCACACTTTGTGATCTGAATAATCTCGACCACCTTAGGAAACTGTTGGAATTTCACCACGAGTTGTTTAAATGGCGAATTGGGAATTACCTTGTGAATAGCGATACTGATGGAGTTAAAGTTCAAGCATATGCATCAGTGCATAATAATCGAGTTGATTGTAATTATTATAACAAGAATAAGTTTACACAAGCGTCAATCATTGTGAATGTGTATATTTGTAGGGATGTAGGGGAAAAGTAACTGTCTGGTAGAGTGGCTAAGTAATGCAGTTTTCGGTTTGATAATAAATTTCGGAGCCATGATCGAAAGGTAGAATTGTAATATCATTGTAAAAACTGAAGACAAGGGCCGGAAACAGATCGTTTTATTACGGAAATCAGCACGTTTTTATGTATATATATATTCATCATGTACATTATTTTAGCTTATTCAAGCAGACAAACACAGTCTTCTGATTGATTGTTTCTGGTTTCTCGGAAATTTAATCCATATATCTGCGAATCTTGTTTGCCCACGTTAAGTCTGCTGTGATTGATTGTTGAATCAGCCTTGTTCATATTTTCTCACGGCCGATATTAGTGTCCTAGGCATTGACGTAAATTGATGTCTACCAATTGGCTAGCAGCCTGCTCTCACCACACCACGTGATGATGATGATGATGATAAAAAGATACAGGTGACATTAAAGATAAAGATATTAACAACAGTTATCACCAGGAGAGGAAACTATTCTAGTTAGGGAGTGAAGGTCCACAGGAGGGAGACCGACTGGACAAACATTTTCTGATCACAAATTGGGTTGGAATGTTTTGTGGCAACTGCTTCAGAAGTGCTTAGCAGTCGAAGGCTTACAAATCTGCAGAACTTAGTTGACGCCTTGTGTGGAACTGAGTTCTTATCAATCTAGTGCTCTGTATCCACTAAGTTTTCCAGTCTGACGGAAGTTATGGTAGTCAGAACTTCAAGAGGTCGTAACACTGTCAAATACCAACAGCAACAGAAGGATGTCTTGCTCTATCTTGTAACATGCACTTCCGTTGACCCTTAGAGGATTGAATTGGCAAACACGTGTAACATGTATCCATGACTGCACTTGTCTCTTCAGTGTTTCGATAAATTCTATCTGGCCATCAAGTGGTGATTAGAGTGAGTAGTTTCTAACTACTCATACTTTTTCCTTCACGTTCCCCAGTGGAACATAGGGCTTCAAGCTAGTGGCTTGAAGTTTCTGTGGCAGTGGTGTTTTATTTTTACAGGATGTGGTAGCTAGCCTCATGCCCAACCAACCTTTCCTCTTCACCAGCATTATTTCTGGCTTAGTGAGGTAAGGAGTGCGTTGGCCGGGGATCGAACCCGGACCATGTGCATGGTCGGCGAGTGTCCTAACCGCTATGCCACCGACGCTATGAAGACGCACCTACAATAAGTGAACCACCTTATTTATTTGCAGAATTACGAGAGTAGAGAATAAAATAATTATCTGTAGAGATCAGTTCCAGAAAACGTGGAATCCGCATAAATAGTGTATAAGCCAGACTAAAAACATACTTGCGAGAATAAAATGTATCAAAGATGAATACTGAGTATCGAAAATAATGTATTATATTGCCTTGAATGAATAATCTCAGTCAAACACTTTCAGGTAGTTTAATAGAAGGATACATCAACATTAACAGACAAACATAACCTTAAAAAGCACAACCACCCAGGATTCCATGCTCCTGATGTAGATTTGTCTAGTGTCATCAAACAATGGTTCAGTTGACAATTGTGACAGGTATTTGAAAAGGTCGAAACAAAATCAACAAATACTGAGCATAAGATACATACGACGAATATTTATATAAGTAGACAAAGCAAAAAGACAAAAAATAAAAATTTCATGGAGC